GTAGGGTGGAGGAGTGTGAGGGTGGGGGAGGGGGCAGGTGGCAGGTGGCACAAACAATGTATACATATGTAAGTAAATGTAGAAATGATCAAATAAAAGAATAAAAAAATGGTGCTAAATGTGTCATAAAGTCCTTAGTATATTATATAACACAAAAATAGGTTCTGAAGTAGAGACTCTTAAGATTGGAAAGCAGTAGAAATTAAAGAGGACAGATTTTACCATTTTTTTTCTATGTCTGTTAAATGGCAATAGGATTACTGTGAATGCTTTTGAAATTGTTGACTACCCAAGGTATAATAAAGTAGGCTATTGCTTTAGAATTCAACGTTATCATTCTATTTCATTTTCTCTTACCACCTTAAATAGCAGGAGTGGTTTATATTTTCCCCTTGTTCTAGGTTTTATTGTTATTGTGGTGGCCCTGGAGGAATTTTGCTCCATTATTTTTGCTGTGCTCCCTTGATCCATGTTCACTCATTTAGGCTGGGAGGGTACAATGGTGACATAATGTCACCAAGCAATGTCACCAACCCTAAATCCAGTCCACAATGCGCTTGTTTCCACTGCATTGTTTTCCCTCTTGCTTTCACTTACATGTTTTTGAAGTGATGTTAACCTAATTAGTGCCTGCACCATCCTAAGCTCCCTGAAAGCACAGAACAATGAGGGTGAATCCTAGGCAACATTGAAATAGTGAGCTTTTTCCAGGGGAAAGCCTTGTTAGAGCCTAGCATGTCAGAGTAGATGAGTCCAGCACTGGGTGCTGAGAGACCACAGGGAGGAGTGCTGTCCCAGTGGCTACTTGCCAGAGTAACATTCAATCATATCTTGCTCTACCTAAAGCTTTGCTTATGTGATTAGCTTTAAATACAGATGGATTTTTGGACAGTAATCTTACCTACTGTAGTTTTAGGACTGTAGAAAGCTTTTCTGTAGGCAAAAATAGCATTCTAACTCTCCCAAAATTTGTGTCATAAAAACAATGACTTCTACAAAGTACCCGTTACGTGCTGACCTTGGTCATTTCATTTTATTTCATTATAAAACATTTTTCTAGCTCCCTCCCTTGTTATAATGGTTACCAAAGTCAGTTTAATAAGGGGAATTAGTTCTAGTGTCTCTAAAACAGTAAGATAACCATAGCCTATAGCAATTTATCATAATAACTGGGAGAAAAATGTTGGAATGCTCCCAACTCATAGAAATGATAGCTGTTAGAGCAGATGTAAATGCTAATTGCTCTAATTTGATCATTACACAATATGTACATATATCAAATCATCATATTGCAACCTATAAATATCTATAAATTTTATGAATCAATTAAAAAGTACCATGTAGTACATAAACCAATGGTATTTATTACCACTGTGAAGTATTCTGTACCATCCATAACTGTATGTACTACCTTTTTATGTGGCTAGAACCATGGTGGTGTGTTTATACCAGCATCACCACAAACACCTGCACATAGGCTAGCCACTCATGGAGAACTGCTTCACTTGGAGAGAGGTATGAGTCCAAGTACTCCATATAGAGTGATGAAAACATTATTACTCTTGGCAGGATCCAGAAGATTAGTGGTGGGGCAACAGTAATATGAACTTGTAGTGACCACACATTGACTTGTAGTCAACACCTGGGCCTATATGGTGCCTCAGAGAAGAAATGCAGGATGGGTAGAAACCATCATGATACAGTATAGTGATAGATGTAGGGAGGGGGGAAATTACTATGTCCACAGAAGGGGTATGGGGGCTATCTGGCCCAGCTGAGCATTGTGGGATATCTAGAGGAACCAGGTGGATGCCCAGAGAGTAAAGCCCATGGTATTTTCAGAAATACTTGGGGAAGACTTTGCCAGAAGTTAGAGCTTCTGCTTAAGCAGGTGAGCACCAGAGCTAGGTCATCTGGGTGACACCTTGTGAGGTAATTGATGAAATTATTTAATAGAAATTAATGTTATGATCACTACATCCCTGTGGTATCAAGTAAGTATGAAACAATCTGAAGTTTACAGTTGTACTGAAATAACATTAGAAATCTTCATTACACATACAAAAAAAGAAATCTTCATCACATTTTGGAAAAAGGTATTCCTTTAATTCTTCCATCTATTCTCTGGGATACATTTACAGGAATGCCAGTGGATAATTCATATAAATCCTACTTGGTATGTTTTTCTATTTGTGGTCTCCACATCTGAGCATGAGAACTACCTGGTTTGATTGTCATAAATGTGACTTTATCTGATACCAATTGAATCAATGCATAAGCTTCCTTTTTTGCCTTTTCCTTAAGATTCATTGTGAGAATGGCTAAGGGGGTGAATTCAAACAATGATATATTTGATACATTATAAGAACTTTTGTAAATTTCATGATGCAGCTCACCCAGCACAGTAAAAAAAGGAAAGAAAAGAAAAAAAGATTCATTATGAGAAACAGTAATTATTGATAAACTCTGCTTTATTATTCAATGAGTAGAAGATAAAATCTCTTTCTGAAGAGGGTAAGCAGGTGTGAAATACAGATCTAGTAAAGAGTGGTCAAGATTAGAAACAGATGAATTCTTCATGAATACATGAAGGTGTTGCTGAGCAGCCCCGGTGCCCAGCTAAAACTTCAGACCATAAAAGCATGTTGATAACAAGCCTTGTGATTGTCTAGAGAGCCCCATGGTTTTAAGCATTTATAAGGGTGTGATGTGGTTACCACATGGCAGACATAAGTCGTGATATTAAGATAAGATACAGATAGCATAATGAATCAATGAAAGCCTAACTGGGGGTGGAAAACAAGCATATAGGAATGATATTAATAACAATATAATAGTAAGTTGATAGATAATTTGGGTAATAACACATAAATTCCAAAAGAAGAAACTAGGAACAAGCGTAGTTGATAAATGAGGTAGTATTTAACAGATACCTTGAAAACATGGCAGGAATTGAAGGGGTTATATCATTTAAGTTGAGAGAGGTTATTGTTATATAAATTAAACATTTTATCACTATTTATACAATAATATCTCAATCATGGTGAAGAATACACACATGAGGATAAGATACCTTGTTGGTCCTCACAGAATTTAGCCTAACAGGGAGAGCTAAGATAATCATGATTCAGTCTTGGAGTGGTGAAAAGATTATTTTGATATGTATTATATTTATACTGAATATATTATATATACTGTATATTACTATATGGTATAATTTACTAACAGTAAAATCTTATTATATATATTATAGATATACTATATCCTTATATATTTTACTATAGCACTGCTTATTGAACTTATACTGGGTTTCTTAACTCCTTCCCATGAAAACTTAATGGAAATTTTATGTGCTTCCATATTTATGTAGTCTTTGAAAAAAGGATGATCACAAAATATGATATTCAGGTTCAACTTACTTAAATCAATTGCTCACTAAGAACCAGTGTGCCGCAGTACTACAGTACTTATATCGTCATTGTATCAATCCTGTGAAGTAGGCTTTTAAAAAATATTTTGGAGCTGGAGTTGTAGCTTAGTGGTAGAATGTATGCCTGGTCCATCACCACAAAGGTCTCTTTTGTGCTCCCTCTTTGTAGTCACCTCCCCCATTGCTAAGTAGTGGCAAACACTAATGATCTGTTCTGCATCTTTACAATTCTGTAACTTCAAGAATGTTATGTAAAAGAAATCAGAATATGTAACCTTTTGAGACTAGGACTTTGTAGTCAGCACAATGCCCTCTAGAAGATGTGGCTAGACATTGTTGCAAGTATTTGACCTTTTTTTTTTTTTATCACTGATTAGTTTAGATGTACCGTTCACTTACTGAAGAATGTTTTTGTTGCTTCTAGTTTTGCATTATTACAAATAAAGTTGCTATGAATATTTGTGTGAAAGTTTTTGGGAGATGGGTTTTAATAAATTTAGTTCAGAGTCATTAAACAGATAAATTCTCCACAATAACACTGCTAATTAACCATGAAATAGGTATTAAAACTCATGTTCTTACCTTATATTCTGTACTTTTTTCACTACCCCACGTTAACTGAGAACAAACTGTTCTGCAGGCACTGCAGATAAGTAATGACTATATATGTGACTACTACTTTTTTATTTAGGGGAGTGGGAGCAGTACTGGGTTTTGAACGCAGGGTCTTACACTTGCTAAGCAGGTGCTCTACCATTTAAGCCATGCCTCCAGTCCTTTTTCCTATTTTTTTTATAGGGTCTTGTGTTTATGCCCAGGCCAGTCTTGACAGCAATCCTCCTTTTACACTTCCCGTGTAGCTAGGATGACAGGTACATGATACCAAGCCCAACTTTTATTAGTTGAGATGGGGTCTTGCAAACAGTTTGTTCTAGCTGACCTTGAACTGCAATCCTCCCCATCTCTGCCTCTTGAGTAGCTAAGATTACAGGTGTGAGCCATCACCTCTGGCTTGGTTGCTTCTTGATAAAATACTAGTTCTAGAAAAATATAACACTCAATGACTTCTTTTTAGTATCTGTGTACACATCATTTACTTATTAATTCATGCAAATTATTAGACCAATCTCTGGTCTAAATGTTGAGGCGCAGTTTTCTTTTTGTTTTTTTGTTTTGTTTGTTTTTTTTTTTTTTTCTTGAGGCACAGTGCCTGACCCCTAAGGGATTTTACAAAACATCATGATTTTGGCATAGAGGTAGTGTGCTCTGTGTTACGTTGGTTGGAATAGTTTTAAATTTTATTTGGGAAATGTCGTTCCAGGTACATGTGAGTGCTGCAATAAAATGCATTCTTGAATTTAAATTTGCTGAAAATTTTGGGTTAATATACCTTGCCTTATCTTAGCAAAACAATTGCTAAGCAGGTATGCACAAACACATTATGTAATTTTGCAAGTTATGAAATTCAGTGCTTCTTCCAAATAGGGGTGAGGTTCAGATGCAGAATTGTTTGTAGACTGCTCACCAATGAATGATTTCTTCTGCTTCCTCTTTCCTTTCCTCCCAATAGCATGAAAAATTAATCAGTCGTCCACAGAGTACCAAAAGAATTTCTACAGATCCTCTAGGTAAGGAATATTTGTTTTATTCTCATTATAGTACTTTTTTCCTCTTACACTTTTATATGTGTGAATTCTTTTATTTAAAAAATGGAGAAAGTGCCTTTTTAATTATCATTGTTTATCAGTCTAATAAATGGATTTTCTTTGGGAATTCATGCACATATAAACCAGAATAGCATTCTCAAATTTGTGTGTAATTAAATTTGTACTGAAATCTATAGGAAACATGAACTTTTCTTAAGTAAGTTCTAAGTATTATCTTACTCAAATAATAAGTAGTTTCTTAGTTTGATAAATAGATGGCACAGTTTGTTCTGAAATATTGACTTTTAGGTTGTAAATCTTGACGTTTAGGTTGTAAAATTAAGTGGGTTCGGGACAAACCAATATGTGACCTCAATAGATTTGAAATAGAGGAGTATATGCATATGAAACCACAAAGAAAACATTTAATATTTAGTTGTGTTTATGCATAATTAGTAACTATATACATAATAAGTATGTATATCCCAATAATACAGATTTTGGGGTAGGATTTAACAACTTAATTCTATTTAAGGACTTAATATATTGTGTGATATTAACAGCTACTAGTGGAACAGCTTACTGCTCTTTACGTGGAGCAGATTTTATCAAGCCTACTAAGGATGGCACAGATTCCCAATCAGAGGTTGTTCTTATAGATATATGCAAAAATGTGCAGACTTTACTGAACTCCATTGGGAATAAGACAGGAATAAACTTTAGTTTTATGCATCCTCTCAGAGACCATGCAACTGTTTTTAAAGAGAGAGCAGGTGATATAGAAAAAACAGCATCAATATATGAACACTCAGAGAGTTTAGTAATGCTAACTTTTGAAGAACTTGACATTCAAATAAAAGCAAAATTACTATAATTATCAACCCTCACCAGAGTGCAAGGGCTTATTGACCCTTCTTATGTGTACTAGGAAGTTATCAGTTGTTAAATGTCATCAAAGCTGCTACAGGAAGGATAATGGTAGAGAAGTTTAGATATTTTGAGTGAGATAAAGCTATTAAAAGTTTTAAATGATAGTTTAAGAAGCTCCTACAACAGAAAAGACATTTCAAGAGGTTTATTGACAGGCACTGATGAGGTCACATTTGACTCAATTTTCTATTAGTTGTGCAGAAGGCCAAAACTGATAGCAAGGATATGGATTAGAACCCTGGTTCCTGAAATACTCTAGCAAAGGTATAGTAGGACATGTGGAAGTCAGCTTTCTATCACTGGGACAAAATACTAGAGATAATCATAGTTTCAGAGGTTTCAGTTCATGGTCACTTGGCCTTTTTGCTTTGAATTTATGGCAGTACACTACATCATGGTGGAAACCCATGCAGAGGAGACCTGTTCATCTCATGGCAGCCAGGAAATAAAAAAGAGAAACAAACAAACAAAGGAAGACAAAGGTTCAAATGTCCTTCAAGGACATGCTCCCCAATGACCTAATTTCCTCCCATCAGGACCCACCTTCTTAAGGTTGTACCACCTCCCTATATTGCCAAGACTGGTGGACATGGGCTTTTGGAGGACGTTCAAGATCCAAAGTATAGTAGACATGATTCAGAATTATGGCTAGAGAGTAGAAGAACAATTTGTGATGTTTAGAGTTGGGACCAGTAAGTACCATTTCATTCCAGAGGATAAGGAATAAGATTTGAGAAATTCACGTTAATTTCACATGCTTTAGTTTATCATCTGAGTGATCACATTAATGGAGAAAGTGAATAGGGTGAAGGCAGATCAGATGGAAAGATGGAAAAGAGAAAGTTGATTTTAATTTTAGAAATATGGTACTTGTTTTAACTATACTATACCCTGATAGAGGTAATGAGAGCAGGAATATTGCAAATATTATGATAGAACTTAGGAAAACAAAGCCAAAGATGAAGATGTAGTAGATGTGTGGTAATTCACACAGAGGAGATGGTCAAGTAAGAGATGATCAATTTATTGAAGGGGAAGGTAAGAAAGAGAAGAGGCCTGAGACAGGAAGGAGTAATCCAGCATCAGCAGGAGGAAGAAAGTCTACCAAAGGATAGAGGGAAGAGGACAGCAAGACAAGAAACAAAATGTTTTGTAGAAGTCAGAGAAGATGCAGGTGAAGCCTCAATTGCTGCAAGTAATAAGAGTTCCCTGAAGAGATTTAAGTAGAGTTTTAAAGAGAGCATGGAGACCATAATGCAAGGATGTAAATAGTGAGTTGAGAGAGACCCAAGCATGCTTGTAGGGATCTAGCAAACATGGAGGATGGTGATTCTGTAAGAACGTGATTTTGCTAGGCAGGAGCTCTACCACTTGAGCCACTCTTCCAGCTCAATTACTGAGAGAAAATTCTTTCTTTTGGTGGCACTGAGGTTTGAACTCAGGGCCTCACATTTGCTAGGCAAGTGTTAAGAATGTGATTTTGAAATGAAAACCAGGTTACAAGAAAAGCCAGGCATGGTGTTTCACACCAATAACTCCTGTACTCAGGAGGCTAAGGCAGGAGGATTGCAAGTCAGAGGCCAGTCTGGGCTACATAGTAAGACCCTGTCTCAAATAAACAAAATGAAACAACAAATAAAACAAAAACACCAAAAACCAAACAAACATATGCAAACCCAACTCAGGGAAAATGGCTTTGGTAAAATAGAAGAAACACACGTTTGTTGAGTGAGACACAATGAGAGAAAGATTGGGTGTTTTGCTGTAGAAAAAAATTTAATTTAGAAAAATAATTTTTAAATGGAATTGTAAAATACTAAGGGCTTAAATGGTATAAAAAAGCATCATGTTTTTTGGTCACATTCAAAATATTTTTGTAACTTTGGGCAGCCCAAGTAGTCTAATACAGTGTTAAAAGAGCAGAATTGAGGTAGACAAATTGAAAACAAAGCTAATGAGGGCAACATATTTTAAGTTGGATTAAAGACCGACTCCCTGGGCTTGTCAAAGGAATTGCTGTATTAAAGTGTACTGTGCCAAGAGCAAAGGAATAGAAGCTGTGGATGTTTTAAGAGGTAGATGTCAGCAGTACTATTGAGAAACTGAGGCAATGGAGGCAGGAAAATTCTGGCTTATGAAACAGGAGGATTGGATCAAGCCTGAGTCAGTTTGTAATTCATTTGGAGTCTCACAAGACAGGTAATTGGACTTCACAACACAAAGGGACCATGTGGTCAGAGTGTGGATGGTTACCAACAGGGTTGCTGATGAAGCTGCCTGCTGATGGCAGGAGATGTGAGGCATGGATGAGTTGAGGAAAGCCAACCCAGAAACATAGACATCAAAATGAATACATTGTATGATGGGAGGAGAACGTTTGTTAGAAATCTTTACAGAAAGTAACTTTGTAGAGTAAAATCAGGGTGTAATTTTTGTGAGTAGGTTCAAGAAGGACTAATTGAGTAATAGAAGAGGCAGAATTCTTGGCTCACACAGACCAGAGAAACTGATGCAGGGCTGAGCATAAGAGTGCGAGTAAGTGACTGTGGCACAGGATGGGCTGGTATAAGGAAGGGGAGAGAGAGCAAGGCCACTGTCCTGAATTAGACAGTGAAGCCAACAACAGGAAAATGGAATCATGGGTTTATGACATAGACAGAGTCTCAGGCTAGGTAGAGGGCCATGCTGAGAATGCAGAACATATTCAGAGGAGACGTTTGCTGATCTAAATGGTGCACAGGCCCAACAGAAACGCTGATGTAAAGCCTCTTCCATAGACATGCTTTTCCGGTAGTGATCTTGGTGTTTGTGTGTGTGAGTATGTGTGTGATCATCTAGCTGTTAGCAAAATTTATGCATCACATTAGTACTCATAAAGAGAAATAATTTTTGGAATTTACACAATATCCTTTGACACAGGATGTTTGGGGACCCCAGTATCAGCACCTTCTGGGAACTTGTTAAAAATGTTAAATGTTGTCCCTACCTTAGTGCTGCTCAATTAGACTGTGTGGGCAGAACCTAAAAACCATTTTAACCAGCCTTGCTAGTTCTCAGGGACATTAAAATCTGAGAAGCATCTCTAATCCTGCAGTAGCTGGCACCCTCAAACAATGACCTCAGAAATGGCAGGGATTCAAAGGCTCTTAACTCTCTACCTGGGTGGTCCCATAGTTCTCTGCTGCTCAGAGGCCAAGCCAGAGAGCTGGTAGATTTCCTGTGAGCGGATGTGGAGGGTTAGATCAGCACATCCCCGGGCAAGGATCCTAACGCTGGGTGTTCCATGTGTGCTACAGAGGCCACTCTGGGATAACTTGCTCCACTGGCTGGCAGAGGAGCTCTCAGAAGAAGGTGCTGAGGCCCTCACCGCGTCCCTGCCTCTGCGCCGCAGCACCGTGCAGCTCATCAAACTCAAGCACCCAGCTGATCTCACAGAACAGATCCAGGAACTTCTTTGCTTCTGGAAAAGATCGCTCCCAACTTCCACAGACAAACTTCGCCTCCTGGCTCGGCATCTCCGCAAGGTGGGCAGGAGTGATCTTGCAGAAGAGCTCAGGTTCAAGTGGGAAAATAAAGTGTTCACCGAGTCCCAGCCGTGGTTTGATACGAGATGTAGTAGAAAACCGGGTCACTCTTTCTTTTGTCCCAGAAAATGGCTCCTGGGTTTTAAAGAGTGTTTCTGTCAAATTTTCCAGTAAGATAGTTTGAAGTGAGTCTATTTTATAGTTGTGCTGATAAGTCAATTAAAACAAAGGAGAAACGCTGACAACAGAAGGCCTTCTGGGTTGTCAGAGGGGTTCCATAGTTCATAGTTGAGGAACATGTGTTCTGGCAACCAAGAGCGCCTGCCCTTGTAGCCAAAGTAAGCAGCCAAAGTAAGAGCATTTGCAGTGGAATTTGCCCTGTTTCCATTTTAACAGACCAGGCTGCTGTCTAAGCGTGAAGGAAATATATGACATACAGAAACACCTTTTGAAAAATTGTTACCTGCAAAAATTTACAGTAGCCATACACGTCATGGGGCTTACAGGTTAACAATACAAATAAATTGGGCTGATGTTTGTGGTAGACCACCTTAAGGAAACAGAAAACCTTAAAATAAATTAAAAATAAGAAAAAATGCTTCAGCCATTTGCTATCACAAACTTTTACAAAAATGTAGCTAGGAATCAGAGAATTTAGATATTTTATTATTAGTGAAATGGAGCAGTGCAGAGAAAATGAAGCGTAAGTGAGATAATTCAGAGCCTCTTTCACTTACTTAAAAAAAGTGCTTTTAAACTAGTTTAGCCTTATCACATCATTCAGCCCTATATGCTCAACATTAAAAGCCAAATCCCTAAATCCCTTCTGTCTACTGATGATTATAAGCATTGAGTGTTTGGAAAACCTAAAGCACTTTTGCTCCCTTGCAGTTTGATAAAAATGGAACACTGCATTAGTTTCAGTGATTCATTAATGCAAAGCCAGCATGGCCTTGACTTGCAAGCATCAGTAGTGGTTACTTTCAGTTAATGAATATCCTGAAATTATATGAAAACTTCAAGAATTTTTTAAACTTATTTCTGGTGTTGGCGATTAAACCCAAGGACTTGCACATGCCAAGCAAGTGCTCCACCATTGAACTACATCTTTCCCCCACAAAGTAAGTGTTTGGATGGCTCTCAAATTTAAAGACAAAATTTTCTTCTACAGACTAGTCAGGGACTTGGGTATCTATCTGGTTAGACATTAAAAAAGGGAGATCTAATTTCCAAATGTATTCGTAAGGAAAAACAGTTTCTTAATCAAGATTTGTATTTTTTCCATGCCACCGAAAGGGTTATATGTATTTCCATGTGTTCTTGGAATAAAGAAAACAGACTAAATATTCGTTGTTTTTCTGATTAGGAAAAGAAAAGAAAATTTCATTTGCCCATTTTCTGCTACTGGAGATTATTATTATGAGCATTTTGTTGTATTTTCTTCCAGTTTTTCTTTTATCTAAGAAAGAAATATTTTTATTTCTATATGCACAGATGTATGTAAATATATTCACATGTGCTCATGAATACACACACTAATATGCATAAATCTCCATGTACACGCTGTCCATTTGCTCATCCCCTTTATACTGGCATACACTTCCTCAAGCTCCCCATATACATGCAACACACACACACATCCCCTTTGTACACCTCAAAAAAGACCCTCAAATACACAGCTTGCCATTCATTTCAGACTCACATGTCCTGCATGCATATGCTATTTATAACACACCACTCTTAAGTACCTTGCTCCCAACCTTCACACGCAAGCACACTTTTTCACATACATAGCCTCCCCCACTCAGAGCATAAATCTCCATGTACACGCTGTCCATTTGCTCATCCCCTTTATACTGGCATACACTTCCTCAAGCTCCCCATATACATGCGAACACACACACACATCCCTTTGTACACCTCAAAAAAGACCCTCAAATACACATGCTTGCCATTCATTTCAGACTCACATGTGCCTGCATGCATATGCTATTATAACACACCACTCTTAAGTACCTTGCTCCCAACCTTTCACACGCAAGCACACTTTTTCACATACATAGCCTCCCCCCACTCAGAGATGTAGTCTTAGTGGAGTACATTGTGATATTTACAAAAGTTCTTACAATATTTCAAATATGTTGTATTTGAATTCACTCTTTCCGCCATTCTCCTTTATCCTCTCCCCCCAGTCCTGGAATAGTTTCAACAGGTATCACTTTTTTATTCACATATATGTGTACACAGAGGCATATCATAATTATTTTTAGAATTACCCATTTTAAAAAATGTTTAAAATAGAATGATGCAGTAGGTAGTCTTTTTGTTTGAGTGTTTTTATTCCAATTTGTGCTGTTGAAATTCATCCACATTGTTATGTATGGCCATAGTTTGTTCATTCTCATTATTGCATAATATTCATTATATGCATTGCTAAAAAATTACATACCTGCTATACTGTAGATTGACATTTGAATAGATTCCACTTCTGGGATTTCATAAACAGTGCTGTTATGAGCAGTCTTTTCATACCTTTTAGCAAACATATATACATTCATTTCTTTCAGGTACATACCTTAGAGTGGAATGATAGTTTGCCGTAATTAATTTATTCTTGTATATTCAGGACAACTTAGAAATTAAGCCTTGGAAATAATTACTGAGTTGCTTGTTTTATACCAGAGAGGGACACAAATGATCTACCATTTAGTGACAATTTGTGTGTAGTGTCACACCAATTTCACTAATGAAAACTCATTACCATCATCACTCAGCTAACTATAAAGCACACAGTTTTGTAAATGGAGTAGTTCAAACATTTGTAACTCAAACTAACAAAATGTATGGTATTGAATCACAGTCACATCTTGATTAAAAACTTCACTATATTTAGAGTGTAAATTCTTGATTAGAGTAATTGGCTATGCTTTATGTAGCTTAAAAACACATCCATAAAATGCAAATCAAAACCACACTAAGATTCTGCCTCACTCCTGTTAGAATGGCTGTCATCAAGAACACTGCCAACCACAAATGTTGGAAGGATTTGGGAAAATAGGAACCCTCATACACTGCTGGTGGGAATGTAAGCTAGTACAACCACTTTGGAAAACAATATGGAGGCTTCTTAAAAAACTAAACATAGATCTGCCATATGATTCAGCAATACCATTCCTAGGGATATACTTGAAGAAATGCGACTCAGGTTATTACAAAGGCACCTGAACTCCTATGTTTATTGCAGCGTTATTCACAATAGCCAAGCTATGGAAACAGTCAAGATGCCCCACTACCAGTGAATGGATTAAGAAAATGTAGTATTTATACACAATGGAATTTTATTTAGCTACAAAGAAGAATGAAATTTTGTCATTCACAAGTAAATGGATGGAGCTGGAGAACATCATCTTAAGTGAAGTTAGCCAGGGTCAGAAGACCAAAAATTGCATGTTCTCCCTTATATTCAGATTATAGACCTAAAACAAATGCAATGGACATGGATCACACACTGAGGGGAGAACACGTATGAGAATAATAGGGAAAGGGAAGGAAACCTAGGACTTGAATGTGGTTGGTGTGCTCACTGTAGAAGAGTGAATCTTAAACTGGCAGAGGCCACTATGGGAAGGTGACCAGGAAGGAGTGAAGAGGTCTGGTAGAGATAAACCAATGTGGGTTGTAATACACATGTGCATGGAAGCAATGCTAGGAATCTCTCTATAGCTATCTTTATCTTAAACTAGCAAAAATGCTATGTCCTTCTTATTATCTCTTATGTTTCTCTTCAACAAAACCAGAGAACAAGAGGGCAGAACAGGTTCTGCCCAGAAGTGGAAGGGAGGGTTGGGGTGTGCGTGGTGGGGAGGCAGCCCAAACAATGTATACACATGTGAGTAAATGTAAAAACAATAAAATTTTTAAAAAGCACCAAAAAAAGAAAAAAAAAAAAAAAACACATCCATAAAATCACATTGTATCTTCTAAAGTATTTTAAGTTAGAAATATTTTAAGTTTGGTAGGCAGGCTTTGAGAACATCACAATTCAGTTTTCAAAATTTCAAAAAATTTTTGTAGATAAAGTTCTATTTTTCTAACCCACTTTTTAGTAGATATTGCTGAGATTTTTAAAAAATTTTAAAAATTTTCCTTAAACCAGCTCATGAAATTCCAGCCATTCAACATCCCTGAACTCAAAGCAGCCCTAGCAAGTATGAATCTTTCCCCAGAGGTCTGCACATGACAGTGGGGGGAAAAGGTTAGGGTGGCAAAAACCACTATTTTAATCAACTTTTAGCTTGAAGTGGGGGAATGAGATAAACCAGGCAGACTAAGCTAAGGGAAATTTAGAAAGTTACAAGTCCAAATGGCTCCGACTTAAATTCTCCAACTGCTCCTAATGTTTCCAAGAAGTGTACTGCTGTCTGATGGCTTGCTCAGAAAGTTCTCAGTGAGATGTCCTCAGCTGTACTACAGCTGTACTGACTTTCCCATGTGGAAAGTCAGGCTCCTTGAAGTGAGAAGGGCAGACATGCAGATGAGGAGGGAAATATTGAGTAAGGTGAAAATAAAGGCAGAAGTATGCTGCTGGGGGATTTCCCTAGGCTTCACCTTTGTGCTCTGACCTTATCAGGTACCCTGTGTGGTTTGCACATTTTCACAGGTGTCACATATTTAGTTCTTAGTTTACCACCTCTCCTTGTCTCCTCCACTGGCACCCCCCACACATTTATTATCTAACATATTCAACAATTTACTTATTGTGGTTGCTAATTATGTTTTTGCAAATAAGCTTTCACCTATGTTCATATACATAAGGGACAGGGTGTGTGTCTCTTTTTTTCATTAATGTGTTTCTATTTCTTACAACTCTGGCACTCAATAAATGTTCTACTTTTTGTTATCTTTATATTACAAATGAGAAAACTGCAACTTGGAGTTCCATGATGCCCAGTCATTGGTATAGCCTGGACTAGAATCCAGATGATTCTGTTTTCAGGTAGATGTGGTGCATACCTGTAATCCATCACTCTAGAGGCTCAGCAAGAGGGTCATGAGTTCAAGGCCTGCCTGGGCCTCATGGTGAGACCCTGTCTCCAGATGACTACTTTCAATTCTATACCTCAGCCAGCCTTC